ATGGAACGATCCTAATGCATACATATACACACAGAGCACATATCAATATCATAACATCATAAAAATAAAATAGAGGGAAAAATCATACCCGTCACCACATCGGGTGCGGCGCGTGCCTCCTCGGTAGTCAGCTGAAATGCCCGGCTCCTCACCACTGGAGCCTCTGCCTTGCCCTGCTGACCATCCATGATCCGCAGGGTCGCTGGAGCTGACGCCTTCACTGATGCTGAAACTGTCAACTGGGGGCAATTAGCCTTCTTGTGGCCCCTCTGGTTGCAATGGAAACACAACAACTCAGATGTCTGTATAGCCGAAATAGGAATAGTACAATCCCTGCTAAAGTGCCCTGCCTTGCCGCACTTGTAGCAGCCTGCTGATCCCATCCGACATGCTCCATCATGTGTCCTGCCGCATTTCCCGCAGCTGCCCGGTCCCCCTTGGCCTTTCGGCCTCCCATCTGATCCCTTGGGCTTCTTCCCCGAAGCCCCAACCGCCTGCCCAACCTCTGCTTTCCTTTTCCGGATGTGCTCTAAATCGATCTCCCTTTCTCTCACCCTGGCAATCATGGAGTCCAGGGTAGGGCAAGCTGAAAAGCTAACATGCTCCCGGATGTCAGCCCGTAGCATGTCATGATAACGAGTCCTCCTCATATCCTCATCACCCGCATACTGGGGCACCAACAAAGCCCTCTCCTGGAACTTGGCGGTGATCTCTGCCACAGTCTCCATCGTCTGCCTCATATCCAAGAACTCCCTGGCCAGCTGCTGAAGCTCGATGACTGGCGCGAACACCGCCCTGAACCTGGTCGCAAAGTCTAACCAGGTCATAGCCTCGATAGCCGAGGCTCCCAATGAGTCCCCCACGGACTCCCACCAATCCCTAGCTCGATCTCGTAAACACCCCGCTGCGAACCTCACCTTCGATCCCTCAGGGCAGAAGCTAATCATCTGTGTAGACTCAATGTCGGCAATCCATCGTCTAGCAGCTATGGGGTCTTTCGCCCGTGAAAATCCGGTGCACCACTGCCCCTGAAGTCCTTGAAGGACAGTGTGCGAGATCCTGACTGGCTAGATGCCATATCACTCCTGAATTCCCGAAGGCGATCTTCCATCATCTTAATTATCCCTTCCTTGATCGACCCGAAGATAATGGGGGTCGACTCAAGGATACCCCTGGTGATCTCTGACGCGATGAACTCGCGTAGTCCCTCATCCACTGGCTCGAAACCTGATCCCGAACATGACCCCTCTCCTGAACCGCCATCTATCGGCCTCGATCATAGTACCACCATTCTGCAATACATAAATAACAATCGTTAGTGATACTGATACTTCTTGAGGGATTACAAATACCACAAGTTCCCTGGTCTTATCTTGGCCTTCCTTGGTTCGGGTACGGATCCTCCGCTTTTAGTAGTACGGGCCCATACTACACATCTATCCGTACATTCTTCAAGGACTGCCTCGACTCCACCAGGTCCCTTTCACTACCACTGAGCACTGCTATACTCATCCTAGGCTTGCCCTAGGGAAATCTCTGATTCTTCCCTATCCAGTCCTCAGCTGCTGCAGGCCTCCTTGTAATGCCAATTAGCCACTACCCGAATACCATCACATGTGATGAGGCTCATATAATCCTTCGAGTACCTGACTCGTCCCTACAACGGTTGGACTCCAACAAGAGCTACGCAGTAGGATCAAATCCGACACTCTAAGATTATTCAACCCTGATCACATGTGATGTGACGTATTCTCCTAATGGATAACTCCCATTATTCAGAGTCCCACATAGCACAAAGCAATCAACATTCAGACAAGGGTAACAATCTTAATCAACTCTATCTGCTTACAAGAATTGTACTAGCATACAATGCTAAGCTCATACCATCAGGCATAACCTAATCAGGCTATCCTACTTGCTGTCTACTCAATACTAGCATGCAATTCTCATACAACTGAGACATATAAAGCAAGCACATAAGGCATCACTCCTAGATCCTTATTCCTATTCTAGCATGTTGTTCTAAAAAAGCTGATAAACATAACATAAACTTGTATGGGTATTTTGGGGAATACTTACTTGAGCTCAGCCGGTCGCGCACATCACACACTTCGTTCTTTCTCAAACTCTTTTCTCAATTTTTAGAAAACATTTTCTTTTAGAAAATCTTTTAATCCTTCGATTTGAGTTCAGACACCCCTGAAGGTGTGTCCGAATCCCTCAAACCAGGGCTCTGATACCAACTTGTAACACCCCAAAATTACCGGTTAAAAATTTCAATTTTAATTTAGGTTAAAACATAAAACATCATTATAAAACATTCATGATAATAATCCACCGTCTGAAAACCGGTGACATCATAATAAGAATTCAGAGTACATCCTAGAAAATCCATAGTGCGGAAAAAACAAAAGCGTATGTGTGATATGCTGCTACCGCGCCGACTCTTTTCCCTTAGCTGAAGAGGTACCTGAAACCAAAACTGAAAACCGTAAGCACGAAGCTTAGTGAGCTCCCCCATAATACCACATACCATGCAAGCATATAACATACAACATTCAGCTAGGAGTACGGGCCTCGCCCACACTCATGAAGATACGGGCGTTGCCCACACTTCGCTAGCTGGGAGATACGGGCCTCGCCCACACTCTACTACCTGGGAGATACAGGCCTAGCCCACAATCCACCCTCGGAGAGATACCGGCCTTGCCCACACTCAACCACTAACCCATAACATACAGGTATCACACAGACAACAAGTATAGACAACTCTATCATACTGACACATATATCATAATCAACTAACCCAAGAGATACGGGCTCGACCTACACTCTAGTGCTAACATCTCGTCTACATAGTTCGGCCTTGGTGCTATAGACCTGTTCCTACTGGTAGGAAAACTCACCTCGAAGTAGCTGCTAGTTTGTGTGGGAATTGACTATCTACTGCTGCTGGAGCATGGGTCCATAAAGGCAGTAGAGGCCAATCAGCTTATTATGAATTATAATGCACATACAAGCTTGGGGAAGGGCTCAAGAAAGACTTTAATGGAGTAACAAGCATAGAAACAGGGGGAAAACGAGTTTTACCTCAAAGAAATCATTGAGAGAACACTAAGATGCTTGGCTTCCTTCCCTTCCTCTTGATCTACTCCACTTCCTTCTCAAAAATCTTCAAGAACACACACTAAAATGCCTCAAACTCACAAGAACAAGAGCTAGAACGTAAGGAGAGCTTCTGAGGGTGAAGGGGGGCTGGCTTGGGGCGGAAATGAGGGCTTAAATAGGTTGCAAACCCCTGAAACTTAGGGTTTCATCCAACAGCGGTGACTCGCCGAGTAGTCAGCTTAAACGTGTCCCGGGTCCCGTCTCTACTCGGTGAGTCGGACCTATGACTTGCCGAGTCCAAGGCTAAAAATGGAAAATACTCAAATAAGATTTACGTAACAGGAACCAGGTGCTACAGGTACATTCTGAAAAGATGGAGAAAGGATGTGATATCAAGAAATTATCGTTTTAGTTCTCTTCAATCTGATTCAGGGGATTGTGAGAATGTGAAGCTATTCAATGATTCATATTATAATTTTGAATCATGTTTGGATATTGTAAGAGATGACAAAAAGAAATTGGCTTTGTTTGTTGAGAAACAACAGATGCTGTTGAAGGAATTTGAGAGTGAGAGTGATTATACATTTGCTGGATTGAAAAGCAAGACCGATGGTGAAGTCGTATGCAAGCTTATGGGTGTTTCTATTCCTATTCGAGATTAATATCATGTTACTCAAGTTCAAAGCAATAAAGCTTCTTGAATCAAGAAAAGAATTCCAAGTACAGGTGAATTAGTATATGAAAAATTCTAAAAAAGAACATAGAATGTGTTCAGGATGTGGAAAACGAGTTCCTCAAAATTTACGTACATGTCCAGTAAGAATTGCAGTTGCTCAATCACAAAAGACATTTAGGGTTATTTATTTATTTATGTTTTTTTGGTTTTTTTTCATTTATGAATATATGCATATAATAACCATAAACAATAATATTCATGTATGAATAATACACATTTATATTGATATGGTAAATTGAGATTTGAAATATATGTTCTTTTAAAATGAATATATCATATTTGTTTTTTAAATAAGTTATATTAAATAAGTTATATTGATATGCTAAATTTATATGTGAAATACACATATTATTTGTAAATTATTCATAAATGAATACATAATATGTGGATTCATTTATCAATGAAGATGTTATTATTTACATAAATAATAACATCTTCATTGTTGGTATACAATGAAGATGCTAAATTTAAAGGTGAATGAATATACAATGTTGGTATTCAATTATGAATAAACTTAAATAAAATTGAAAACTAGTAAAAATGAATACAAATATGTGAACTTTGTTATACTAATAAATAAGTTATATTCATATCAGAAATTTTTTATGTTCATATATGAACTTTATTATACTAACATATTACTCCTAACTTAATCATAAATGAATATATCATATTCGTATTCATTTATGAATAAACAAAAATAACCTTTGAAAATATTTGAATATAAAAATGATAGAAATAAGCTAACTTGTTTCTACTAATAAATAAGTTATATTCATATCTAAAATTTGTTATATTCATATCTAAAATTTGTTATATTCATATATGAATTTTGTTATACTGACATATTACTGCTAACTTAATCATAAATGAATATATCATATTCGTATTCATTTATGAATAAACAAAAATAAAATTTGAAAATATCTTAATATAAAAAATTATAGAAATAAGCAAACTTGTTTCTATTACTTAATCATTCAACACAAGATAATAAAACCTGTTCATAAGCATTTCACAAAGTATTTAAACAATGTTCAATAACATTTAACAAACCACCTAAAACTTGTTTCATAGAATCATCTTACATGTACTTCAAATTCATTCATCTTCAACACAAACTGTCTATAGCATCACACTTCATCACAAGCAATCATCAATATTCTTTTAACCTTTTTTGAATTGTTGGCATAGCCTTGTATGCATGATCAGTACGCACTTTGAATTCAACTTTTTGAAAATTTTCAGCAAGATCCAACACCTTAGCCCTCAACATGTTAATTTTAGAAGTTAGCATTCGATGTGCATACCTTTTCCTAAGCTTCTCTAAAGTATTTTGTTGAATTGCACTTTCTTTATGAAGACCTGGTTTCCACTTTGAGAGTGGTTGTCCCATATAGGTCTCCATATGTCTCATTGCAAAGACCCCACAATAAACTTTGTTTTTAACCATTCTCCATGTCATTTTAAGTCGTTGGGGGTGTGATACTTTCTTTTGAGATTGCATTTTCTCTTGGATGGTTTATTTCTTTAAAGTATCTCACAAACAAAATATTTCTGATCATTAAATAAAATAAAAGTTAGATATGTAATAAATTGGTTCTTTTATATTGTTGTGAATTGGGTACATACCAAAGGATCCAATAGTACTTTGTATTTACCTTCATAATCCCCCTCAACTGCACTGTTGTCCAGAATTTCAATTGATGGTTTCTTTAAGTTGAAGACAATCACAAAAATGTGAGCACTTCTAACAACTGGAAAAAAATACCTGTTTTTATGTATATAATGGAAAGTATTTTGTTGATAATATATATATATATATATATATATATATATATATATATATATATATATATATATATAACAAGTTTAATTAACATACCATGTCAATATCTTTTATGTTCAAGATTTTTTTGTACCCATCGGTACTGTCATGAAAGTTCTCCTTGAATTTTTCATACTTTCTTTCATTAGACAATGTTGAAGATAGATAATCATTCTGTAACCAATATAATTTTAAAGTATTAGTAAATTGTTAATCACAAATGAGTACATCATTTTGGTATAATAATTATAAGTATATACTAAAGATATTTATTTTTCATTGTTAATCAAAGATGAATATATATTGATATGTGAATTTCAGTTGAATATACATATTTATATTAAAGAATACATCATATTGGTATAATCATATGTGAATTTCAGTTGTAAAAAATATAACATTCATAAATGAATACATCATATATGGTATAATCATATGTGAATTTCTGTTGTTAAAAAATATAATATTCATAAATGAATACATCATATTAGTGTATTCATTTATCAGTAAATAAGAAATTAAGGTTAGAACATAAACTTATAGAAACTTCAACTTTCAAGAAGAGTCTGTATGGTGAATTTCCAAAATCCCTTTCCAGTTCTTGGTGGTTAAGTAAATCAGACCAAGTTGAACAATATTTTTTCTGGACAACCACATCTCTGCAAATATATAATCAAAATGTCATACATTATTATCTATATAATAATCATATATGAATGTCTATAAAATAAAGTTACTTACGATGTATTCCCTTACAAGTTGAACAACCACTCACAGACAATACTCTCTTGATGTGTCAGTATAGGTTTTGTGTCTATTATTCTGCATTTTATAGGTGATTTGAAAGCATCGACAAGCTTCTTCTTTATTGGTTCATCCAGATCATGTTTTGATGGTCCTAATTCAATAGGAATTGCTACAAAGATTGGTTTTGGATTAAGAACATTTTTGTTTGCTAATCTGATAACAACCTTCTGATGACCGTTTTTGATTTTTTCTTTGTAAGTGGTTTTTTTGGTGAAGATTCATTAGATTTTTTACTTGAAGTTTGATCTGAATCTTGACTGAGACCTGGACTAAAACTTGGATAAGTATCTGCATGCCAAGAGATTTATCATATAAATAGTTGTAAGTTAATTATAATATATATATATTTTATATTGTGAAATGTTTTTTCAAATTGTTACCTCCTTCATTTCCTTTTGTCTTGTCAGCTTTTTGTCATTTTTTGTTTTCAATTTCTGACTTGTTCTTTCCTGAAAGATAAAGAAATTTGATTAATTAATTCATTTATGAATAAGTAATGTATTCATATATGAATAAGTAATGCATATCATTATTTATGAATAAGTAATCCTATATTTTTTATTTATTCGTATATTGTGTTATTTATTTGTGAATAATAAAACTTATTATATTTATTTATTAGTGAATCAACTATTTACCTCTATCTTTTATATTTCCTTTCTTAATTTCTGTTTGTTTATCTTCATCTCCATCTTTCGTGTTCTTAACTTTTGCTCCTCCTTTATTTCCATGTTTAAAGTTTTCCTTGACTGAAACATAAACATCATAAATGAATATTATTTTTTACTAATTTATATAGTGTATTATTCACTTATAAATAAATAATGTTATTAAAAAAAAATCAATATATATATATATATATATATATATATATATATATTGTAATATATTTTAAATAATTCATTTACCTATATCATCTCCTTTTTTTAAACTTATTTTCCTTGTTTATCTACACCTTGTGATTTTTCCATTGTTTTGAAAACTGGACCGGACCGGCCAGTCAGACTGGTTCAATCGGAAACCGGCTATGATTCTGGTTTTTAAAGACCTAAAAACCGCTGGTAAAGCAAACCAGACAAAACTGACGGTTCAACTAAAAATCGATGAAAACCGGCCTGGTCTAACCGGAAAACCGGTGGTTTTTAATAAAATAATAAAAAAGTTGTACTAAAGAAAAATCCAAAGGGACTCACGATTTTATACGAACGGACAACGCTTACCTTTTATCTATTCCATGGTAACCCTCAATCCCTCCTACTTTCGTCTATTTTTATAGAACTCCCAATCCCTCTTACTTTCGTCTATTTTTATAGAACTCCCAATCCCTCTTACTTTTGTGTTTTGGCTGATGTAGGATATGAGATGGCTGTGTAAAACATAAAGCTATAACTAATAATCAATGAATACTCTTCTTCCACGTTAACATATAACTTATTATTTTGTTTTATTTTTTAGAAGGATGTATAAACTTATTACAACATAAATCGTGATGTTTTATTAGAACATAAAACTTAAATGCGTTGTTTTATTTTAAATAGTATATATATATATATATATATATATATATATATATATATATATATATATATATATATATATATGATGTCATCCAGTTTTTGGTACCGATTAAACCATCGAATAAGACGGACGGTTCGATGTGCGGTCCGGTTTTCAAAACATTAGATTTTTTCTTTTCTGCAAGATCCATTTAATGTTATATATGAAATATAATTAATTAATGAATTAGTGAATAAATAATAAGTTGATAGTAACATACCTTGAATAACTTGACTGATCAGAGGATTAGTTTTACTTCTAGTCATTGGTGACCTTGGTCAAAATTTAATAAACAAAATTATTATTGTGTATTAATATTTTTATATTTTTTAAAAATAAAAGTAAGAAAAAATTACCTATATCAGTATTATCCAAAATAGTTTTCATTTCAGGGTCATTCCAGATTTCATTTTCTTGACTATTTAAACTTGAAATTCCAATTCCAAGGACATCATCCACAATGTTGTCAACAACTTTATCCAATAAATTTTCATTTTCAGTTTGTTGAATAGTCTCTTCATGATTATTTGTTTCTTCAGCATGATCATCTTCTTTCTCTTCATCATTGTCATTTTCATTGTTCTATCCATCTTTCTCTTTGACTCCAGTTTCACCTTCTTTTTGATTCGTATCTCCATCATTCTTTATTCATTCATTCTCTGCTTTATTTGAATCAAACAAATAATCTACTTCCGGCTAACTTTCATCATTATCATTGTCTTCTTCACCATTTCCCTCTTTATCTTTATTTTCTTTTTGATCATTTGTTTTTTGACCCATTATTGGTGTCAATTGATTCCTTCAACTCCAGTTTCATTACTTGGAAATTCAAAACGTGTTGTGCTTTCAGTTTTTTCCTCAACAATTATATTTTTCATCATTTCTTTGAAAATCCTAAAACTTTCCTTTTCAAGGAACTGTGTTATCGCATCATTGAGCTTTGAATTCAACTTTTCCTTCATCTTCTCAAAACTATTAAGCATGTTAGATATTTTTGATTCATATGCCTATGTAATAAAAAGAAGTATGATTAGAATTTAATATAATAGTTTAATGTCATCATATATTATTAACATGTTCAAACTAATTACCTCAACATAATGATCTTCATCTTTATCAGAATCACTATCTTCGAGATCTGTATCTCCTTCATGTTGTTCATTAACAAATTCTTCATTTAATTTTTCCAAGTCCAAATCTACCTTCTTCTTGTTCAAATGTCTCTCGATATCTAATCTTCTCTGAACTCCAATAACAAATTGTTGGACGTTTACATGTTACCGTTAGAACTTCTGAGTGGATGTTATCATCATAGAGCAACTGCACATAAATGATAACTAATTGATATTCATATATGAATAAGTAATTCAAACCATTACTTATTCATACATGAATATATATATATATATATATATATATATATATATATATATATATATATATATATATATATATATGAACAAGTAATATTATTTTTTACTTATTCATATATGAATAAGTAATGTAAAGCATTACATGTGAACAAGTATATTTTTCTTATTCATATATGAATATGTGCTATTCAGTTATGAATAATTAATATTATTTAAAACCGAGTATAAACATTATAATAACTTACCACCAAAAAAGCTGAAGGTCCAATGAGTATGGTATGTATGAGTTCTTTATTCTGACAAGACAGTCCAAAACATAGCTGCACCAGTCTATATTGCTGATATCTATTTTTCTTGAAATATAACTCAAAGGAAACAGGTTGCATCTTCCCATTTATGTTGACTCGCAAAACGTGTTGCAAAAATGAACTAAAAAGTTCAATTTGAAATTGAAATAAGCTTCTGTGGTACTAATAATAACTTTTTTGATCGCATTCAATCAGATGATTGATCCTTCTTGAAATTGTTGCTTCCATTCATCATAACTAGTATCATCTTTAGACCATTGATCCAGTTGTGTAAGTATGGTTCCACCCATAGGAATGCCCAACATGTCATTAACAGACTGTGCTTGTAACGACCCACATTTTTACAAAGAAAAATTTCATTTTTAATTAGTAAACATGCTTGCATAAACCATGAAATTCAAACATAATTCTTTTCAAATCCACATTCATTACAACTTTGTATAAATCATTAGAGTGTCCGAAAACATATTAGTGAAACAGAGAGATAGAGTGAACGCACGCCATCATGCCTTGCCCTTGCCCTTCGGCTGTTCCCTAGAGCACACCCACACACAAACACGTACAATATATCATGCTAGCTAACAACTATACATAACACATAATCCACGCAAATAACACATAAGGAAGCCCTGGAAACCCTCTAGGGTCTTACCACGGGTGCCATGAGAACCCCAACATGGTCTTAGCCCAATGCCTCGGGAACTCCATGAGGTATTTGACCTAGGATGCCAAGGAAACCCTCCAAGGTCTTATACCTAAGTGCCTCGGGAACCCCCTGAGGTCTTTAACCTAGGATGCCAAGGAAACCCTCCAAGGTCTTACACCTAAGTACCTCGGGAACCCCCCGAGGTCTTCAATACATGATACACAAAAACAACTAGCACATTACATATCAAATAGTCCAAATAACATATACATAACAATTAATGGGTCGGCCTTAGTGCCTTCGACCCATTGGTATGGTGAGGAGACTTACCTCTGTCTGCTGAATACAAAAGCTACTCTCCTAATAGTCTGCAACCTCCCGAGTTAAATAATAATATTAATCAATGTTAGGACCTTAGATTAGTTAAAGGAAAACCTAAACTCCAAACCCATCCATGAGGCCCACTTATCCTTCTCTTGCTAATGGGCCCCAAAATCCAAGTCCAAAAATTACTAATGGGCCTCTTGGCCTAATAAGTCCCAACCAATATATCCATAGCCCATAATAGATGAAATAGCCCATAATTCATAGAATGCAACCCAACCCAATAACCAAAGTGAGGCCCACGACTCAAAGGTCCAAAACAGATTCGGCCCAACTGTGATGCGTACGCGCGACGTACCATCCTGGTACGCGCAACGTACTGGGGTCTTGGGACTAAGCGTGGTGTACACTGGGTTACGCCCAACGTACAACCAGTTTAAGCTCTTTTTCCATTAAGTGCTAAATACTCGTTTCCTTTACGTCCAAAAGCCAGATCTTAGTTTGATAAGACATCCTAAGGCATAAAGTTGGCAACTTTATGCCTTTGCATGCATCATATACACCCAACACCTCCATTAAGACCTTTCTAAGGTCTTTAACCCATGCATGAGGCCAATACTCTCATCAAGACTCAATTTTTATGGTTCTACAAGACCAAGGGGCCTCATATATGTCTTTCTCATCATGTGGAGTTGCTCAACTCACAAATGGAGGTCCAAAGTCAACCAAAAGGGACGAGGAAGAAAACCCTAACTAAAGCTAGAGATATAAGATGAAAGATCCAATCTTTTTTCCTCCAGAAGCTTTGCAAGATGACTATGATGCCGGATCTTGAAGCAGCAACTCGTTCCAAGCTTGCTTAACCACCTCTTCTTCTTGGAATAACCACTAAAAGGGCTACACATGCACTTTTTAGAGCTCAAAATGGTCTCACAAGTTTCTCAGGAGTGTAGGGACGTTCTAAGGCAGTAGAGGCTCTCTAGGGTTAAGTCCAAGGGACTTAAGGTCGCTTAAATAGGTCTCGTGTCCGAAAATTAGGGTTTTGGACCCCTGACACGTATGCCCGACGTACGGCTTGGTACGCCCAACGTAGCTCTAGTTCCTCCACGACCATTCAAGTACAGTACGTTAAGCGTACACTTAAGTACGCCCAACGTACTTAAAGGGACAATTATGCTAAAATGAAATTCTTGAGGGTTTCAAGACCTACTAGATGTAGGGTGTTACAACTCTCCCCCACTTGGACTAAACTTCATCCTCGAAGTCCGTTGCTGTAAAAAAGTTTGAGATAATGCTCCTGCATCTCCTCCTCTGGATCCCAACTCCATTCGGAGCCCTTCCGGTGCTGCCATTGTATCTTTACCAATTTCACTTCTTTGTTCCGAAGACCCTTCATCTTCCTGTATAAGATGGCGACCGGATTCTCGACATAGTTCAGGCTCCCATCCACCTGAATGTCATCCAAGGAAACAACTGCGGACTCGTCAACAATACACTTTTGAAGCTGAGACACGTGGAAGGTGTTGTGGATCTGGCTAAGCTCCTCTGGCAGCTCCAATCGATATGCCACCTTGCTCACTCGGGCCGTGATCCTGAAAAGGCCTATGAACCGAGGCCCCAATTTGCCCCTCTTTCGAAATCTAATGATCCCTTTCCAGGGTGACACTTTCAACAATACAAGATCACCTACCTGAAATTCGAGATCCAAACACCATCGGTCAGCATAGCTTTTCTGACGGCTCTACGCGACTCGCAATCGGTCACACACCTGCTGAATTAATCCGATAATCTTGAGCACCACCTCAGTGCTCCCCATGACTCGATGACCAACTTTGTCCCAACACAATGGGGTCCTGCACCTCCAACCATACAACATCTCAAATGGGGCTCGATCGCTACTATCATGATAACTGTTGTTGTACGAGAACTATGCTAGTGCGAGATATGTATCCCAACTCCCATGATCCGGGCACGCTTAACTGTAGAGTTCTTATGGGATTTTCTGCCCTCTTAGATTTAAAACGCGTTGTGATAGGGAATGTATCCACACCCTTTATAAGGAATGTTTCGTTCTTCTTTCCTGATGATGTCGGATCAGGTGCAACCCTCAATATTGTGATACCTGCTAGAGGGGGTGTTAAAATGGCATCAGATTTAGGGTACGGGTTGATATGTTCAACGGGGACATCGAACCCTATAATGGGGGGGGGGGGTGAAGGTGGGTTGCACCCGCTCCCACATCAGCTGGGAAGGAGAATGAAACATTCCTTATAAGGGGTGTGGATACCTTCCCTATCACAGCACATTTTAAAGTGTTGAGGGCAGAAGATCCCATAAGAACTCTGCAGTTATGCGTTCCCGGGCGAGAGAAATCCAGGGATGGGTGACCCCCTGGGAAGTTTTCGCGTCGGGAGCCCAAAGCGGACAATATTGTGATACGTGTCAGAGGGGGATGTTAAACTTATACTGGAAGAGCTTCTGGCAAAACACATAACTAGTGCTTCTCATTGGGTTTTCCATGTGAGAGTATGGAAAACTATCGTACATCGATAACTACTAAAGTAATATGGGTTTCCATACGCTTGGTTATACATTGATGCTTACGAGATGTAAGGTTGATTCTGGGAGCTCTATTGTGCTCTTTGTTGCAGTTGTGAGCTTGGTTATTGTCAGTTTCAAACATATTTTGATGTATTATGGATAAGAGGGCAGACCAATTGTTTGTTGAAGGCCAAGCTATTCGGGCGGACGAACTTGATGTTGTAGGCCAAATGGAGCCTACCAGCTTGATGTTGTAGGCCAAAGGGGAAGACCAACCTTATTTTGATTACCATTATATGCATGCATTATATATGTATTATAGTGCGATGTACTTTGGGGTACTCAATAAGCTTTTGATTATAGTTGTGGATTAATTGTTTTAGGTACTTCATCAGATCGTGGGAAGGCGAAGGTGTGATTGTACACTCATATAAGTAGTTTTATGATTTGAGATTCCATGACACTTTTGTGATAAATCTAATTTATGGATTTTTGTTTACGAACAAATGATTTTGCTTTGAATGTACCTTTATAAAAATCAGTGTTTGTGCTAGTTTAAAAATGATAAATTTATTTTGAAAATTGGGAAGTTACACGTTCACAAAGCTTCCACATGCCATTCACATTCGTCGAGTGAGGAAAATTAGTCACATAAACATTAAAAGATATATCCTCTTGTTTCATGTAGTTTGATTGATTTATATTGTGGCCAATACTTCTCATTTGGGGATCATCAATTTGTAATTGATTTATATCTTGGGTTTCGCTTTCTAAAGTATGGTCTCATTTCGACATATTAAAAAAGAAATAAAATAAATTTATATGAAGTGAAAATAATTGATAGTTACGAAGAACTTTAAAAAGTACATAAAATTATTCCTTGAATATTATTTAGTACTTATATAAGAGAAACATTGAGGTATTTAGAACAAAAGCTTTCAAATCATATAAAGTAAACATCGCTTGAAACATCTAGGGCACTTTGGGTTGGAACTACACACCATCACATAAAGGTAGCAACTATGACAACTCATTAAAATAAGCTATGACTCATTCAAATCGAAAGTATAAAGCTTTGACGAGTTTTTGTTGAATAGTTGTTCAAAATAGTTGTTGCAATTGCTTTTCACGTTGTTTGTTGGAGCCATTGGGATCTACAAAAGAATAAAGGGTTGATAAGTAGCCAATTCTAATTAGAAATGCGAGGAATTGATTGAAGAACTTGTTTTAAATGCCTACCAAGTTTATTTTTATCCAATAAATAATGAAATAATAAAAGTTAACAATTCATTATAAGGGAAAAAGAATAATGAAGTGATAGTTACCTTATCTAACTTCTGCCTCTTTGCGGAGTTGTAATTGTCATGTAAATCCATTTTAACCTCAAAAAAACTTATATTTGGATCACACTTTCTGATTTCTGATGAAAGGATTGGATTCAATCCACTCAAATATATATGATTGTGAGACCTTTCTTTTTCTTATATAAGAGTGAAAAGGTGTGATCATTATGAAAATTGTTGCAATAAAAGCTATGGCGTAACATTTCATTTATTCATGATAACCATATTTGTGGCTTTTTCAAATTCACACATGAAACATTAAATGGGAGTTTATCCATATCAATGTCAATGGTTTATCTTCTATGATATAAATCATTAAGAGTTGATATAAAAATCTGATAAATGTGAACAAGTCCACATGAATAATGCGAATATATATAAATGATATCAAAAATTATATGTATAAAAAAGAAAAATATTCATGGCTAACACTATAGACCAGTGAACCTTGAAAAATCATGTACCCAATAATATGTGACATCCCACAATTTTGGTCTAAAACTGTAGACATTCAGTTCACTGCCGATCCTTTTTTAATCTGATCTATTGAGATTTAATGCGAATGTTTGTAAATATGTAGTGTCATTACAATTAAAATAAGATACGAGATAATATGTTACTTTCAATAGTGGAATATTAAAATCGAATCCAAACAACATAAACTGCAACCCTGGTTAATACGTCTGAAAAACTGATTTTTTTATTAAGAAGTTGTGAGCGAAGCAAACATGTTAATCTCTTTGTACATGTTTTTCCCTATTTCCAAAAATATGAATGATGTCCAAAACAGAGCCTATATGCAAAAGATAC